TGATGGGCATTTGGGCTGTTTCCAAGTTTTAGCTATTACAAACTGTGCTGCTATGAACATGGGCGCACATATATCACTGTGGTATGATTCTTTTAATTCTTTGGGGAAGATCCCCATAAGTGGAATAGCAGGTAAACTGAAAATTATTAATAATATTATTTTGAGGAAACAACCCTATTATACTTGGGGCACACAGAACGGAAGTGAAGTTTTAAGAATCATTATTTTTTCATCGTCCTTGTCATGCCCTTTCTTTATCTTATTTCCACAAATGCTACTCTGAGATTGTGAAGGACAGGGAATCCTCATTATTAGGTAAAGAAAGCGAGTCTTGGGAAATTAAAGGCCTCTGCCAAGGTCACACATGCAGCTTACCGACAGTGAGACTCTGGGTCTTTATTCCAGCCTGGTCAAACTTCACCACCTTGTCTTCACACTGTGTTCCCGCACTCCTTCTGAATTTCTTTCATAGTTCATTCTAAAAGAGTTCATGAGCAACCTTATGTATCCATTTATTATTCGTTCATCTATCAGTCAGTCCATCAATTCATTCAACCAACACATATTGAGCATTTATCATATCTAGATATTGTTGTAGACTTTAGCAATACAGCAGGAGACAATAGAAGATTCCTCTCCTCATAGAGCTTACATTTTCATGAAGTGGGGGTCACAACTATAAATAAGTAAATTAAACAAATCAAATATATGGAAATGCCTGACAGTGGAGAAGTGCTTTGAAGAAAAATAAAGTCAGGGAGGATGACTGGGAGTGTTAGAGTGGGGACGGAGGATGAAGTGGTCAAGGTCATCAGGCAAAGGATTTAAGGATGAGATGACATTTGAGCAGAGACTTCTGGGGGTGAAGCTACACAGAGAGGTGGTCTGCAAGGACTGGTCCCCCTCGGTGGCAGCACATCTGGCATGTTTGTAGAACAGCTAGGAAAGTCATGGGGCTGAAGTAGAATAAGTCAGAGGAGAGGCACATAAGGCCTCAGAGCAGGTAGGCAGCAGGGTTTTAAAGCTACTGGGAGGACTGTGGCTTTCTGTGAAGCCATTAGAAGGTCTGTGTAGAGGAAGGACACAAATTGACCCAGACTGGAGAAGATCATCGTCTGAGCACTAGAAGCAGACTGTGGAGTGGCCAGTGAGTTACCTTAATAAAACAATAAAAATATGCAGAAAGGTGCATGTATAGGGATGCTGACTGTAGAACTATGAGGGAGGCAAAAATGGAAATAACCAAAATATTCAATGATAAGTGAGTCCTCCTTATAAGGATGAAAATAAGGCTAATAAAAATAATATTTTAGAAACTAACAACATGGGCTCTGCTCCCCAGTTAATATAGGTGAAGCAAAGAATGAAAAAAATGCGTCCATATCATAATCTCTGCTTTGGTAACACTAAAATGTGAATGGCACTGCTCTGTTAACAGTGGAACACTCTTTCTTTTCCTTTTTTTTTTTTTTTTTTTTAAGAAATTGAAGTATCAACTCTGAATTAGGCTTCCAAAGGCAAACCATCAAAAAGTAGGAATATAGAGAGAAGTTATGTAATGGCCTCAGAATCTTCTGTGTCTCTGATACCTCTCCTTGCATCGTCACTAAAAGGCATGGCTACCTCTCACTTATACTTACCACTTGCCTTTTTTAGGGTTTTCAGTAGTACAAAGCCTGCTGGCACGCCCTCTGCTGCCTGCTCCAGGCAATATCCTGTTCCCTGGGCTGCCACACTGTGAGTTTCACTCACTTGGTCTGTTTGTGGTAAGCTGGGTCCTCCAGTGTCATCTGGTTCGGCAGCCACAGCCTTCTCAGATCTCCTTTTCCCTGACAGCACCCCAGGAGAGGTTGTTTCTGAGCATCCTGAGGAGAAGTTTTGTATTCTCCTTTGCTGACATCTGCTGAAAGGCCAATGTTAAAAATGTCATCAGATCTGTCTAAACAGTCTTCTTTCCATGCTTTGGTGGACAGGACATGATGATAGGTTTTGGAATCATTTCTTTTACTTTTATATCCTTTGGAAAATAATCTCATTTCCTTACTCTGGGAATTTCTTCCCTTTCTCTCTGTAAATATCCACATAGCCTGGGTCTCCCAATTAAATGTCCCAATTTCCTCAATAACTTCACTTCTTCAGAGGAACCCAGTAATTTGAGATTCTAAAGCTAAAGGAGGCAATGTGAGCACAGTAGTCTATAGTTGCTAACATGTGGAGTCGGGAGTTCCTTTGAGAATTGACAGTAACTTGAGGATTTATCTCCAGAAAAATACTCGTAGATCTAATCTTGTATATAATTTCAGTGAATGTGTGTACCACGTGATGTCCACCTCTCCACTCCACCTTAAGAACTTCTGCTAGAAGGATAATTAGGGGACGAGAAGGGAACTAGGAGGCAGAGTGAATAGTAGAAGAATAGTAGCAACACAGGACGTATGCATGTCTGAAAATATCACTGCGAATTTTATTAACTTTGACAATTAATATGCATTAATAATTATAATAAAAATAAAATTTTAGAAAGAAAAGATCGGATTACTAAAAAGAAACAGAAAAGAAACACGATTTGATCAGCAAGTTTTCAGCACTTGAAATTTGTAGTGTAATAAATGTGACCACATGGTGCCGCTGTAACATCATCAAGCGCCTGGTTTCAGAACAGGAAACTAGATGATAGGCCAATGAAATTGAAGGACTTGGTTTGCAAGATCACTGTAAATTATTTGGCAAGATCAGACACTTAACTTTTGTGGACCATTCATGTTAAATAGAAAGAGGGAAAGCTATCATCGACAAAGACTACCAATTGACATCCTTCACTACTGTGGTATTTGAAGCGGGTATCATCTGCACGGAGAAACTGATACTCAGGAAATTAGTGATGAAATACAATATTCTTACTTTAAAAATTAGAAGACTTTTTGCTTAAAATGTGCTGTTTTACTTTTCTTTGTTCTTGGAAAAAACTAAATTCACTTAGTGAACACTAATAATTTTCTTTAAAATATTGAAAGGTAGCAGTAAAGCCTCAGTTACTCTCAGTCAAAATGGAGATAGTAATCTTTCTTTTCTCTAAAGAAAAAATACTATGGCTCAAGAAAAGATATGTTACAAAGAAAACTTCCAGAAATATGCTATTAACTAGAGGCTTTGTTGCATCATTTTTACCAAACCAGAGTACTTTTTCATCTATGCAAATTTCCAATGCCTCCTCCAACTTTCACAGATATTTTCTAGTGCACAGCATGGGATCAATGGTCAATTGGACTCTGTTCAGCTTTTCTTTTCCCCCAAAACTTTTTATTAAAATCTGCAATATAAAGAAAGCATATTTATACTGAAAGATATTTAAGGTTAAGGTTCCTTAGTGTTAAATATGACAGACAGGGAATCTGTGGGTTTACTGAAAGGAAGATTTTTTTTTTTTTTTATAACCAGGATTGAACTCAGGACCTTGCACTTGTGAGGCAGATGGCAGAACCACTGAGCTAAATCCCCAGCCCACTGAAAGGAAGGTTTTTAAAAAAATGTTTGTTGCTTATGAAGACTTGATGAATGAATACTTTAGCAGATTGTATTAGATGTTCCCTGAACACAGTGTTCAATTACAGGATGTGACTTAGGGTGGGACTTGCTGTTGAGACCAGATAAGAAACACACCTGGCAGATGCCAAAGTTGAGACACTTCAGACAGTGGTATCTGCCAATTAAAATAGAAAGACAGCTTACATCATTACCTCTAGGAGAGCAAAGAAATAATACTTAGGTGGAGGGTGAGCCCCTCAAAACTTACAGATGTATAAGCTGTTCAGTGAGTGTAAGGTTTCTTTCAAAGTTGAGAAGGGTATGAAATAACATTGATGTGTTTATTTAATCAAAGAAATATTTTTTGGTAGTATTTCTTATGGCTTATATGTAGATGTACCCACAAAGCCACATGTGTGCAAAGATGAAGTTTTGGGGAGGTGGCTGGATCATATATGTGTGATACTGGATTAAGGGTGTGTGATAACTGAATTAGTCTATGGATTGGTTTAGCATAGTTTTGGGTGTAGAAAATGAGAAGGCCCACCCTGGGTGTGGGTGCTAAAAACAATAGGCTTGTAGCCTGGGTGGAATATAAAGGGAAAGGAAAGCTTGCTGCTGATTACCCTGCCATGGACTGTTTCTCCTCTGCCATGTCCATCTGCCACGCCACCCTGTCTCAGAGCCAGCTGACTATGGACTGAAACCTCTATAAACTATGAACTGAAATAAACATTTCCTCCTTTAACATGTGAATGTCAGGTATTTTGTCCCAGAAATAAGAGAGCAACTAAGACAGTATCTTTATAAGGCATTATGTTAACATAGTTTTATCCAGCAGGGCATGACATATAGGTCCGATTCCCCTTCCCCTATCTCCCACTACCCTAATATCACATGCCTTCTATATGCAGGGTCCTGTGTGCTACAACCTGTAGGAGAAACCCTTAAATCTCCATAGATTAGGAGGGGCTATTTCTGAGTTTTGTACATTTTGTACTTTCTTTAGAAGATCAAGACTTTGTCCTCTTCCTGCTATCTTCAGACCTGTGAATCCTTCCACTCTAAAATGATGTTATTAATCTCCCTAAAGCCAAAGCTATTGCTTGAGCTTTCCTAGAGCCAAGAACAAGTTTATGGTTAGGATTGTAAAAAATCCAAACAATTTTTAATAAACTTAGAAGGTTAGAGCTAGAAGAAGCCCCACACATCATTTAATCAACCCCTCCTTGTTTTACTTTGCTCTGAATGCCTAGGAAAAAAGAGACCTCACATGGAAGCATTTTGAGGAGGAAGCTTAATATTCTTTTTATCAGACAAGGAAAAGTAAGTATGGCATTTTTCCTCTGCTTTGCTCAGAGGCCTGAGTAAATCACTTAAACTTAAACTTTAAGACACTCAATTTGTGCCATCTACAAAATAGGACTATCTGATTTATGTTATGCATAATGATTTTGAAACAATATTTCAATGTAAAAGTAATGTTTTATATAACTGCAAAGATAATTCTATCCCTGACCTAGTAGAACATGTAGCAATTATATAAAACACAACTTTTACATTGCTTATTGCCTAAATGATAATAGCATGCATACAACAAGGTAAGTAATATTCTGGTCCTCTACTGTCAGATATAAGAAGAGCTTATTTTTTCTTGTAGTATGGAGATTTCTGTGGTCTTGCTGGCTTGGTTTCCAACAGTCCTTTCTGTTGATATGTTTTATTGGTTGATATTCAGTTAGTTGCAGAGATTTTTAGGAGAGAAATTTTACTGTGCACTCTAAATTCCCTGCAGACCCAATTTATTTTCTCAGCAAAATTAAAACTTAATTTCTATGTTTTTAGTGGGCCTGGTGGACCTATTTTATATCTATGGGGAATATTTAAAAGGTCTAATTATTTAAGGTCAGGAATTATGAGAAAGGAAGAGCCAAGCCCTAGGGCCTTTGTCCTCTCCTTTCCGGGTACCCCAGTTGTGACTTGCTCTTCACCACCTGAGTGTAACAGAGCTTCTGTGAGCTTCCACTCCATACCTGTGCCTGCTCACCATGAATCATGGGGATGCCCATGCTTGGCCCAAACCTGCTAGTTTTCCTTCTCTTTTCCCCAAATCTGTAATAAAAACCATAATAATTTTGCTTCCTCATTGCTTTATTTACAGCAGACCTATATCACATTTTCTCTAAGATGGAATTTTGACTGTCACCCCCAAGGCTGTGGAAAGGCCTGAGTCTTTAACTCCTAAACTTAGCTTTTAAATCTGATCCTTGTCTCTAGGCAGAGAGAAAATCTGGCTTGAGTTGCTCTTACAAAAGCAGACCATTCCTTTGGGTTCCGTACCTTGCTGTCAATCATCTACCTAGGAAGGGAGCAGGGTATCAAGATTGCAAAACAGGGACTCTGTTCAGACTGCCAGCCTCTGCCACTTGTGAACTGTGTGAACATAAGCAAGTTATTAAACCACTCATCAGGTTAATAACAGCACCTTTGTAAGCATAGCATATTTTAAATAAAATGATCTATGCAAACTCAGCCTTGCATTTGCTTAACACTTAACAAATATAAACTACCATTGTTGTTGTTATGGATGACTCCAAAGTATTTAAAAGGTTTTGTTGTTTGTTTGTTGCTGTTAAACAAAAGACAATTTTTTTCTCTTAGAGTAATAAAAATATTGATCATAGTATGAGTCAGTGGAAAATTTATGGAAGATAAATTTATTTTCAACCAGGCTGCCTCAATCAGGGAATTATTGTGCTGAAAAAGTCAACTGAGTTCTCAGAAAGATTGGAGGGAAGTGCTGCCTCAACTCTAGACCCACTTGGAGAGTGACACGCATGAAGTGGAGATGACTGTGCCTCAGTCCCATGATCAGAAAGGTCCTGCCAATGCTGCAGCGCACGGGTGAGTGACCGTTTCTGTGGCTGACAGTCGGTAGCAGTTTGGGAGCCACAGGAGGATGACAGGCTCGGATTGCACCCAAGACAGGAATTTCTCCTCCTTGATTCCTGGGCTCAACACCTGAAAATCAATGGCATGCTAAAACGTATTTTTAGGCACGACTTTGTACTTTTGCCTTCTTTGGGGGCACTATTTCTATGTGTTCTGCCAAAGAAGTTTATGATGTGAAAAGCTGGAGGCAAATCTACCTCCTAAGTAAGCTTATCTGGGCTGCTGTGCGGAGTCTGATTTGAATCTGTCAGCAAACTCCTGGGGTCAGCGACATCTCCATGGCACTCACCCCTTGGAAACAGCTGTGGACAGCGCTGTCCACGGGCTCAGCATGCAACAATCACCCACGACAGCTGGGATCTGCAAAAGGGAGCCTCACATCAGCAGCCAGAAAGTCCAGATATACGTGGCCACCTGAATTGGCATGCTTGAGTGACAGTACTCATAGCCATAGGGTCCCAGTATTGGGTTTCCAAGTCCAGATGGGGGTTAGGGTTAGCAAGCAAGAACCCTAACCCTAACCCTAACCCTAACCCTAACCCCAGTCCAAGCAAGAAGAAATTTGCAGGGCTTTTGTGCAGTGTTTGGGTTGGAGCAATGAATGAACAAGAGGAAGAGGAGAAAGGAAAATGAGAGAAGAAAGCCTGGCAACTGGGGCAGTAAAAGGTGGTTGGCTCACTTCTTGTGATCTCAGTTAAACTATTTTAGTTTCTCTTTGCCCTGTTCACCCATGAAATGCAAGTCACAATAACACTGCTTTAAAGTTTGTAGTGTTTTTTTTTTTTTTGGTACCAGAGATTGAACTCGGGTCCTTGCACTTGCTCAGCAGGTGGTGAAATCACTGAGCTAAATCCCAGGCCTAAGTTTGTAGTGGTTTTAAGGAAAAACTTTGCCAATGTTTTCACATCATCTCATTTTAACAAATATTATCTTTTGAGGTGTTAATCTTTATCCTTGTTAAAACCAAGGGGGTGACAAGAAACAAAATCACTATGTCAAAGTGATAGCTGCAACCCTATGTTCACTGTTGCACTATTCACAATAGCCAAACTCTGGAAACAACTTAGGTCAAGAGTGGAGAAAATATAGTATCTATAAACCGGAGTACTATACAGGCTTTAAAAAGAAGAAAATCCCCTCACTGTTACAACATAGATAAACCTGAAAAACAATAGCTAAGTGAAACAAGCCCGATACAGGAAGATAAACACTACATGATATTCCTTAGATGGGGAATCTAAAAAGCTGGACTCACAGAAACAGAGAGTAAAATGGGGGGTATTGAGGAGTTAGAGGTTGGTAGAGGAGAGAGGATATGATATGTTAGTCAAAGAGCACAGAATTTCAGTTATACAGTGAATAAGTTCTGGGGATCTGTGATTGTGGTCATTCACTGATTGTGTCAACAGTAGGCAATGCCCAACTAAATTGGATCAGCATAGTTCTGGGTGTGGCTGAAAGTATTTTCTGAAGACAGAAGACCCATCCTGGGTATGAATGACAGCAACGGATAGGCTTGTAGCTTGAATGTGATAAAAGGGAAATGAAGAAGGAAGTCTTGCTTCTGTTTCTTTGGAGGAGCTCCAGTCTTCGCCTTCACCTTGGATGACGTCTCCTGGCTTCCAGTGCAGGCCCTTCGGAACTTCAGATATGGACTGGCATGGGACACTACAGAGAGCTCCAGGGCTTCAACCTTTGACCGGTCCTTCAGATCTCCAGAGCAAGACAGCCCTTCTGCACTCTTCTACACCTGACTCTGTGGGTGGCCACTGTAAGCCAGTCTTGTAAGTTCTTCTGTATTTATATATCTTGCATTAAATCTGCATCTCTAGTAAGTACTGACTGATAGATAAAGTGATGTTTAATTGTGTCAACCTGATTGGAATGAGAAACACCAAGGAAATTAGTAAAAGACACTTCTGAGTTTGTCTGAGAGGTGTTTCTGGAGATGCCTGGAGTGTGGAAGAGCAAGCTGAGGGAGGAGATCCCCTGAATGTGGGTGGCACTGTCGACTAGGCTGGGGGCCCAGATGGAATGAAAACAAAGGAGGAACCTTGAAAGCACAGGTGCTCTTGGCTCTTCCCCCTTTCTATGCCTCCTGTGCACTGAGCTGAACACCTTCCTCTGCCACACCTGCCGACCATAGTGTGTCTACCTTGGCCCAGGCTGACCTAGCTGACGCTTCTGAAACCGTGATCTAGAATAAATCTCTCCTTCTTTTAAGTGTTTTTGTCACACATTTTGTCACAGTCCTGAGAAGCTAACACAGGATCTAATGTAGAGCACAGTGATTATTGTTCCTAATACTCTATTGTTTATTTGACATTTGATATGAGAGCAGATTTCAGGTGTCCTCACTACCCCTCCCCTCATCACACAAACAGCAACTGTGGGAGTGACGGATGTGGTTTAGTAATTTGACTCTGGTGACCATTACACAGTGCATAGTTATGTATTTTTTTGCCTTCTGCTGATAGGGATTTGCCATGTTGTCCAGTCTGGCCTCGAACTCCTGAGCTCAGGTCATTCTCCTGCCTCAGCTTCCTGAGTAGCTGGGATGACCACCATATTTGCTCACATCTTGACTATGTATAGTTTTCATTTTGTTAATTCAACATTTTTTAAAAATAAAAAAAAGAATGATTAAGGTTTGACACTTCCCTCAAGGTCGAAAAAGCAAATTAACTGCAGAACTGGGGGTTCACTCCAGAAATCCTTACTCTTGGTTAAGAGATTTTTACCAAACTTTGTATCACCTGACTTTATAGATACTCTAATGCCTCATTCAGTTGCGTCCATCTTTCAACACAGTCACCAGAAGAAATTTAACTAAGGGAGTAAGAACCTTTTGTGCCTGCCAAGATGTCCAGGGTGGCTTGGTTGTGACATAATCTAAATGCACAGGTATGTGTATTGTCACCTCCATTTGTTTCCATGTGGTCAGGGGTCCTAACTCACATCTGTCATCTTCTACAGCACAGACTGTCAGCAGGCATTGTCTACAAGTCCAGGACTAACCTCAAAGACCTCCCTGCCGAGTTCATCAACTCCAATAAACACTCCTCTAATCAGGAAAGTGGTACTTAGAAGCTCTTTGCTGACAATTAGCCAGGCAGAAGTCAACAAACATGTACGTAAGAGTGACAAGATGGTTTGTACTTTAAATTGATAATAATCCTGCCATCAGTCAAAATGTAAGTAACTACCCCCTATGTTATTGGGCCATTGTCTGAAAAAAGAACTCATTTCTCATCTTTTGGCTTCCTAGTGTGGACGAACAAACTGGACCACTTATTCAGACTGTGTTGCTGGTACAACATTAATGCTTCTCTGTTGTCCTTGAGCTCTGGAAAAGGAGTTTCACTTCATTTGTAAAATAAGGGAGGTGGATAATATGAGATCAGCTTGCCAGCTCTGTGGTTCTAGCACTAGTGAAAAGAAAATTCATTCCTGTAGTGGGTTTTAATGTACATTTTTGCTCTTAAATATGTGCACAAAGATTTCACAGATTAATTGCCCATTTGACCAATTTCATGTAGGTGTTATATGGAAGAATTAAATGTGAGTAGATGGCATGCTGACACAGACAGAATGGCACTTGAATGGATAATTAGAATTCTTAGGGTAGAGTTTGAATCACATAGTATAGTCTGGAATTTCCTACTGGAACTCATCTCTGTGTCCATAGTGGAAGTTAATGGGGTGACAATTTGTTATGCAAATTTCCATCTTCCTAATAGTTTTCTCAGGAGCATACTAATAGGTGTAGGGTGGTGTGGACTGCTGCAGGAGCTGTCACTGCAGTAGCTTAATGACCTTAGTTGAGTTTGGAACAAAGGCAGACTTTGTGGGCCTACAAGACTGGTGCTAGTCTGCAGCTACTTGTAGTAGTCAGGGGAGCAGCGTAAGGAATTCTACAGAAAAAAGAAAATGTCCCTCAACCCATCTCCTTTCACCCCGTCCTCCTCTTACTGCTCTAGTTGCATAGATGGGTAAACAGATTCCCCTCTGCGCCCTGGCTCCCCACCTACTGAAGTTCTGAGATAGCTGGGGAAGAACATCTGCTATGATGGCTTTCTGAGGCACATGCTGTTTCAACCACCAGAACAGCTTGAAACTGTCTATACCTGATATTTTAGTGTGACAAAAAATTTAAAAGTCATCCTGTTATTTACAGAATATGAGCATCTTGAAGACAGGAGAAGGAGGTGGGGCAAGATGGCAGAAGATGGGGTTCAGCAATTGTCCCCTTCAGAATCATCAATTTAAACCACTATATATGCACACAGTACTTTATCAAGAGCAAAAGAAACCAGGGAGAGATCATAGTACATGGTTACAGCTTAACAATAAGCAAAAAAATATTGAACAAAGTAGGAAGAACCGTTTTATATTAGTTGTGTTATCCCTTCCTCAACCCAAGGCAGAACAATGCCAAGACAATTACTACTTGCTTGGGGAAAAGAGAAGAAAGCAAGTGCAGTATTTTTCATAGAACCCCAAAGCTAGTCTCACCACACTAAAATCCAGCACCAGGAAGATCTCCACAGCCCATAACCCTAGGCTGTTATCTGTCAACTGAACCTTAAGACCCATTCCAGTGTGGATGAGAGTCCATAGCCCCTCAAAGATGGACTCAAATTGGCCTGTATAGCTGCTGGCCAACTATGGTAGCCTTGAGCTCCAAATAACCCAGCAATAGGCAGGCTTCTACAGATGTTGGTTTAGATTCCACCCTGGTTGGGTGCTGGCTATGGTGATCCTGGGCTTAGGGATCACAACAGACAACTTGTCTAGAGTTTTTAGACAGACTTATCATTAAAGAACATTTCCAGACGAAGATAGACTGCAAAGACTTGAGTATCCACTACCTGCCTACCTCTTCAGTGTGCAGGCATCCACACATTACCACAGGGTCATGCATAACCACAGAAACAGGACACCACTAAACAGACAAAGAATTCTGATAAAGAATACAAAAAAATTCATTTTAAAGAAACTCAGCAAACTTCAAGAAAATATAAAGAAATAGTCTATAAATTTATCAGAGAAATTGAAATAATTAAAAACAATTAGCAATGCTAGAGCACACAAATACAATGCACATAATATATGAACTCAAAAACAAGTTGCTTAAAAATATACTGTTAGAAGAGAAAGAAAAAAAAGCAATGTAAAGGACTGAAGAAAACTTATAGGATTTATGAGCCAGCAACAGAAAACAGAGTCATTGATATTGATATTCAAGGAGTAGAAAGAGATTAAGGGATAGAAAGGTTGCTTAAAAAAAAAAAACAAAACAGAAAACTTTCCAAGCCTGGAGAA